GGGCAGGGAGGGGGCTGAGGTGCCCCGGCTGGGTCTGCGGTGGCCCATCACCCTGGGGTGGGTCTACCCTTCGTGTCACGGCGGGAGCAAGGCCGCAAGCAAATTTGTGCCCCTGTCAGCCCACCCCGGCTTGGCCCCGCTCGCTTCGCTGCTTCCTCAGGGCTTGGGACCTTCCTCGGTGGCCGGGGTCAGCGGGTCCCTGCTAATGTGGTGCTGCCGGGGGACAGAGTTTGGGGAGGGGGGAGTCCCTGGAGCACTCCCCAACCCGGGCAGAGCCTTCCCCAGCCACCTCGGGGGCGAGCGGTGAGTTGGCAAGTCTGTCCCCACCGCATGTGACTGCGCTGACTCCCAGTCACAGCCGCCCTTCCCTGAGCCCCGCTGCCGCCGGGTCTGGCCTCCCCACCCGGCAGTGGTCGTTATTAATGCCATGGCAGGCCTCGTTAGGAGATCCGGGTCAGCGATGGCCGATCCCTCGCGTCTCCTTTCCCTCTACTCCCACAGGCTCGTGTAAAAGAGGGAACTGAGGAGGGGGGAGCTGGTTCTCCTGCCGCCAGCAGCCCAGGCTGACTGATCATCAGTCAGTCAAAAACCCCAATCCCTTTGCGGTGCTACCGGACGAAGGTTGAGAGTATGGTGGGTGCGAGATGACAGGCTCCTTCCTTCCCAGCGGCCGCTGAGAGCTGCAGGGGGGACACAATCTGTGCTGGCCGCCCCAGCAGGGACCAAAGGGATGGCTTAAAGGAGGTGAAGTACTTAATTAAGCAGCTGTAAACAAGCTCCACCTATGATTGGCATTTCCTAGTGCCGCCTACAGATGAAAAGCATGATTTATTGATGTGGAAGGAGGACGGGGGCGTTTCCCCTGCATTTGTGCCACCACCTGCTTCCCACCCCTCTGGATTTTGGCTTGCTGAGGGGGACTGGCGTCCCATCAGACCCCAGCAGTGGTGTTAGCGTGGCAGGGATGTCCTCGTGCCAGGAGGAAGGTGTCGCGGGATCGCTGAGCTGAGTCATGCTGTGCCGGCCAGGACAAGGTGCGGTGACCGTCGGCGCGGCTCCGGCCCCGCCATGCCTGCCTGCCAGTGCCGGGGAAGCCGGCAGTGCCGTGGGCCTCGTGGCGGCAGCCCACGGAGAGCTGCAGCAGAGGGGATGGTGGCCTCCAGGTCCAAGCTTGTCCCAAGGGATGGTGACTTATGAAAAGTAGTTGTTTAGGGAATTTTTGTGTATGGCAGCAGGTGGAAGTCTGTTTTGTAAACCAGGCTTCCCCGCGGACGTTTGATGGAAACCCGCTCTGTTTTGCTGGCTTGTGAGAAGCGACAGGGAATAGAAACCTGGCACCCTGGTCAAAATGGAGAGGGAGGAGAGGAAACTTCCCTCATTTCTCCAGCGCTGAGCTGCGTTAACCTTGAGTTTAAGTGACAGGGTGTGGGCAGCCCTTCAGATGTCCCCAGCCTCCCTTAACCTGGCAGCTGCTGGGTTGGATCAAGCTCCCAGTGTCTGCCTGAGCCAGGGCAGAGTGGGGCTGTGGGTCCCCGGCTGCCGGGAAGGTTGGATGAATTCCTGCACGAACCCTTAGAGAATCCTGAGCTAGAGGCAGGTTTGGGGAGCTCTGTCCCCACAGCTCTCTTCGTGGCAGTAGGGAGACATAACTCGTTGCTGAGCACCTTCCTTGGGGATGCCAGAGCATTTTTGGCCAAGCCCTGGCTCCAGCTCCTCTCCACGGCGACTGAGGAGCCTCTGGCAGGGCCTGCGGCACTGTGCTGTTCCGTATCAGCATGCGCTACCCAGTTTTGTTTCCCTTTCTGCCCTTGCCACGATGAGTGGCCTTCCTGGCCAACCGCCAGCATGACATCCACCCTCTGACAGTCAGCAAGAGGCTTTGCTTTCATGCAAACGCAGAGGGATATTGGGTGTGAATCTGGAGTGACTTCAGTTCGGTCTGTCCCCTTCACTGGCCGCTTGATTCCGGCTTTTCTGCTCCAGCTCCAAGGTCCCCGTAAGCTCCTGGCATATGCTGGATAGGTGCCTCTCCCCAGGCTGTTGTCTCTGCGGGATGCTGCACCCTGGCTTTGCATTAAGCTGAGGTTCAGCAGGAGCGGGACAAGATTTGGGGGGGTTTTAGGAGGCAAACAAGCTCCCAGCCAGGAGATGCAAGGCCCCAAGCCAGCGCACGGCCCTTCACACTGCCAGACCCGCTGTGGGGGCTTCTCCCAGGCTTCCCTGGAGAGCCGCCACTTGTTGCTCAGGCACGAGGCTGGGAAGGTGCCTCTGGGTGTCAGACAGGGCCAGGCTCTCACCCTTCTCTTCTCCCTCCAGTTTGTCCTGAAGAACTATGGGGAGAATCCAGAGAACTACAACGAGGAGCTGCGGAAGTTGGAGCTGCTCCGGCAGGTAAGCCGGGCTCCATCCCAAATCACTTGCAGCCCCGGTGAGACCTGCTAGAGCCAAACCGGGGGAGCTGGTTCGTCGCCCACCCCGTGCTCAAGGACACGTCTGCCGGCTCCCGCTGCCTCCCTGAACCGGGAGGTGTGCCAGAGCGCTGCCGTGGCTGCTTCTCTCCCTCACCAGCGGCCCACGGATGAGGCTTTCGGCATCCGGGCTGCATCCTGGGCTTCCCAAGGAGCGTGCAGGGGTTGGGCATTAGGGCTCTGCTATATCCGCTTCCCTGAATTTGGTGGGTTTTGTGTTGAATACAAGTTCCCTGTTGGGTGGAAGGAATCACTTTGTCTAGTCAGGCTGGTGCCTGAGGTCTTCTCAGGGAATAAATCAGCCCTTTGCTCTCAGCTCTGGAGCCCACATACTTGTGTTAGTCACTGGGGTCATCAATTTTGGGGCCACTGAGCAGATTAGAGATGGCCTTGGCCCCGGACAGCTGGTAGCTGAAACACGGATGGCAAAACCAGCTGGAGACGGTTGGAGACTTGCCCCGAGCTGGGACCGGTGCTGGTTTGTGCTGTGCCGTAGGTTTTATAGCAGGGCCATAAGCCTGATGCGCAGGGTGGAGCTGGGGTAACTCGTGGTGCTGGCACTGGGGTCATCTCACCAGCCTCTCCAAAGCACACTGGTGGGTGGGTGCCCTAACATCTCCAGCCTGGGATCTGGGGAGTTCTGGCCTCTGCCTGTGGCCTTAACCCTGAAGCAGGAGGTTGGGAAACCTTTCCAGGGTCTCCTGCTCTTCCCTTCCTTCTCCCAGCACAGCTTTGCCCTAGCAGCAGGTCCTTTGCCCTGTCCAGGACACCCCTTTGTCAGTTGCTCCCAAATTCTGCCTGTTTATTTTGCCCTTAGGAGCCTGTGCTGGGGAGAGCAGAGGCTCTTTTTCCCTGAACCGGTTGCTCCGGATCCATAAAGCGGCTCCCTCCAGCCTCGTTTTTAGGCAAACAGACCTGTTTTTCTAGCTGTGTTACACAGGTGTTTTCCGTAAGGCCTTGCTCCTTCCTGTGGTGCCGCTTCATCACGGGGGAGCTGGCCGATGCCCGGCTCTGGCTGTCCCCTGCTGCCTGCAGATCTCGCCACAAATCAGGCAGGCTCTTGTTCCTGCCTGGCACATTACCTGTGAGCACAGTCCTGTCCCCAGGACAGCCTCTTCCTCCTCCTCTCTCCCCTCCAGAGCGCCGTCAACGTTCCCAGGGACTTTGAGGGCTGCAGCACGCTGCGGAAATACTTCGGCCAACTCCACTACCTGCAGAGCCGCATCCCCATGGGTGCTGAGCAGGAGGCAGCAGTTCCCATCGCATGGTGAGGAGGAGCTTTTTCCCCATATGCTCTTTCCAGCGTGGGCATTATCAGTGGGAGGATCAGCTCCCAGCGGGAGCTTCCTGAAATGTGGAGGCTGACCCAAAGCAGAGCAACTGCTCCCTCTTCCCTGTGCACGTCCTTCACCGGCATCCGATATGCCCCTGTCCGAAGCCCAGCAGCTGTACCTGGGTGGCACAGGGGTGTCCTGGAGACCCCTTGGGAAATGGCATCCTGCCCTGGGGATCTGGCAGGACATCTAAGCCGAGCCGTAAGGCAACACGGTTGGCTCTGAGGAGACACAAGGCAGAGCCAGGACAGCGTCACCGTGCAAGGTGACAGTGCTGAGATCCCCTGGGGTGGCAGAGTTGCTCAGCTCTGTGTAAATGGGGTGTCTGTGATTACAAAGCCAAAACAAGCCCGCCACGTGGACACACACCATCCCACCAGCTCCCACCGCCTCCGGCAGCTTGATTTGATGAACAGGGTGATGCCAGGCAGGAGGGCCCCTTCTCCGAACCTCTGAGGGAGCACGTCTCCCGACAAATCCTTTTCCTGGCTGGTGGCCCGTGCCCAGGAACACCAGTAACTCCATCTACAGCTGGTAACCAGGCTTCTCTCCTCGCAGGACTGAGATCTTCTCAGGCAAGACAGTGACTCACGAGGACATCAAGTACGAGCAGGCGTGCATCCTCTACAACCTGGGTAAGGGCCTGGGAGACCGGCTGTCCTCTTAGTCTGCCCTGGGCACAAGGGATGTCATCGTCCCCTGCCCAGCCTTTGCTCCATGCTCCACGTCGGCCTTCCTCGGAGCAGCCAGACAGCAGCATGGCCCGCCTGGTCCCACCAGCAGCCGTGGCTCAGCCTGGTTGTACCTCTTCCCCTCCTCTGTGTGCTGCCTGTGGGGCTGGGTACTTAGCATCGGAGCTGCACGGGAGGTTGACTTTGGCTTTTATCAGAAGCCTCCTCTCCTTTCCTCGTGGTCTGAGCATGACCTGGTCGTGTGCTGCCCTGCATCTCGGTCAGAGGTTGCACCGAGGAGCCTGACATTGGGTTGTGGCCTTACAAATGCCCTTTCTGGCACAGTGATGGCCTCAGTTTTTGTCAAGGTCATCCAGCACCCTGTCTCCTCAAAAGCAGCAAATGGGTGTAAAAGCAGCAAATCTAACTTTTGTTCCCCCTCCCTTGCTCTCCAGCTGTGGACAATCACGGCTCAGAGTGGGGTTTTTTTGGTAGCCCCAAAGGGAATGTGACGCTCAGCCCCTGTCCACTTAATGCAGCTGGAAACACTCCCATCCCCAGCATCGCAGCTGCCCCTTGTGCTGCACTTCAGGAACTGACTGCATTTTCCCAGTGGACCACGTGCAGAGCAAAGTAGTTTAGCTTAAACCCCAGCCCAAGGCTGCTCCCTGAAGTTGGAAGAAACACTTCTGTTAAACCAGAAGGATGCGAGACAGTTGCTTTTCAATACTGAGGTTTTGTTTCCAGACTGGGACTTTCCTGTGCTGAATGACTTGCATGTGCAGTCTTTCACACTGGTGGCCTCGGTTCCCTGCATCCTGCTGGCACAGAGAGCCAGCTGGGTGCTGCTGGGTGTCTGTGGCCGACTCGCCGCAGATTGAAGCTTCTCTGGTACGAGACCTGCAGTCTCCAGGAGCGGTGAGCGGGGGCTGGCAGAGTGTCCTCTTTCCGCAGGTGCGCTGCACTCCATGCTGGGCGCCATGGACAAGAGAGTGTCCGAGGAGGTAACGATCCCCTGGGTCCTCCCTCAAAGACTCTTCTCTCCCATGTGCTTAACAGCCACAAGCCGGTAGCACCGAGTACTTCTTCTCCGTAACTTGGGTAGTTACAAGTATCTCGATGTCAGACACCAGCTCTGGATGTCTGCTGTGACACAGGATCACTGTAGAGCGTTACGAGGGGCCACCCCCCTCATGGTTGCGTCCCTCCCTACCCCGTTGTTGCTGTCCCTGCTCCAGCAAGGCTCTGCCTGCTTGCTGGCCAGGCTGACCTTCTACCCTCAGCACCTAGGGCCAGGAGGGGAGAAATCTGACACAGCTTGGGGCATGCACGGCCAGGGGAAAGCACTGAGCTGTTTAGAGCCTTGTGAGCCGCAGGGACTCGCTCTAGGCTTGTGGCAGCTGCTTTTTGGGGTCTCAGAGGAGGGCTGAGCAGCACAGGGAACATCTAACCCCTGCTGAGCTGGGGTTTATCACCCTAACCCCACCATGTGAAAGGAGGTTGCCGCTTTTCCAGTCCGGCCAAGTCTCCACAAATTTCTAGCGTCCAGCAGCATGTGCCTATGGATGTTGGCTGGCTTGGCGCGCGCGCAAGAGGGCTGTGCACACCTGACACGTGTTCTCCCGTCTTTTCAGGGCATGAAGGTTTCCTGCACTCACTTCCAGTGTGCTGCCGGGGCGTTTACATACCTGCGGGATCACTTCCCTCACTCCTACAGCGTAGACATGAGTCACCAGATCCTCAACCTCAACATCAACCTCATGCTGGTAGGAACTGGGTTCTGCCTCCACCGGGGCCCTGGTCACAGTGGGATGGCTTCTTGCACACCTCGAGGGCAGCTGCCGCTTGAGCAAGAGAGGGGTGTTCCTAGGGTTGGGTGCTCCCTGTGGAGTCTAAGCGCTTGGAGCTGGGCGAAACAGGAACCCAGTGCCCTACGGGGGCTGTTGTCTCTGGGGTCTGGGCTGCTGTAGGCACAAGGGGCTCCCTCCTGCAGGAGGGAAGGAGATTTGGGGAGGCAGCAAGGAAGAGGGAAGGCTCTGTGCCGCTTTGCTTGTCCCCAGGCTGTTTGGGCATCCCTTGGGGCTGGTGTTTACTGTGCTCCACCAAGCCCTGAAGAAAGGGGCTGTAGCTGGTGGGTCCTGCCAGGGGTTGGGGCCTGGTGCTGGCTTGGATATAAGGGGGTGTCCCAAGGTGTAGGGGAAACTGAGTGTTCCCCTCTTGTCTTTGGCAGGGCCAGGCACAGGAGTGTCTCCTGGAGAAGTCCATGCTGGACAACAGGAAGAGTTTCCTTGTGGCCCGGATCAGCGCCCAGGTGAGCTCCTGGGCAATCTCTGCTGTGCCGAACTCTGGCCGCTTCTGCCTCGGCACTTGCTGTTCCCAGCACAGCCCCGCGCCCACTGCATGGAGCGACACGTGGGATCGGGACCTCGGGGAGGGTGTCCCAGATCCTGCGCAGTGTCAGCGCAGTCAGAGTGCAGTATGGGGTCTTGCCGTTGCCTCAGGCTGTGAGTGCAACCACCAGCTCCTCAAAGGAGAGTGTAAGATCCTCTAGAGGGAAGGGATGCCATCCAGAGGGACCTTGACAGGCTAGAGAGGTGGGCTCGTGCGAACCTCATGAAGTTCAACAAGGCCAAGTGCAGGGTTGGGGCAACCCCCAGTATCAATGCAGCCTGGGCGATGAAGGGATTGAGAGCAGCCCTGCAGAGAAGGACTTGGGGGTACCGGTGGATGAAAAGCTGGACATGAGCCAGCAACGTGCGCTCGCAGCCCAGAAAGCCAACTGTGTCCTGGGCTGCATCACCAGCAGCGTGGCCAGCAGGTTGAGGGAGGGGATTGTGCCCCTCTGCTCCGCTCTGGTGAGACCCCACCTGCAGTTCTGCATCCAGCTCTGGGTTCCTCAGCACAGGAGAGACATGGACCTGTTGGAGCGGGTCCAGAGGAGGCCACAAAGATGATCAGGGGGATGGAACACCTCTCCTGTGGGGAAAGGCTGAGAGAGTTGGGGTTGTTCAGCCTGGAGAAGAGAAGGCTCCAGGGAGACCTTAGAGCAGGCTTCCAGTACCTAAAGGGGACCTACAGGAAAGATGGAGAGGGACTCTTCACAAGGACATGTAGTGCTAGGACAAGGGATAATGGCTTTAAACTTGTCCTGGTTTCAGCTGGGATAGAGTTAACTGTCTTCCTAGTAGCTGGTACAGTGCTATGTTTTGAGTTCAGTATGCGAAGAATGTTGATAACGCTGATGTTTTCAGTTGTTGCTAAGTAGTGTTTAGACTAAAGTCAAGGATTTTTCAGCTTCTCATGCCCAGCCAGTGAGAAAGCTAGAGGGGCACAAGAAGTTGAGTTGGCACAGGACATAGCCAGGGCACCTGGCCCAAACTGGCCAACAGTGTATTCCATACCATGGGACATCCCATTTAGTATAGGAACTGGGAAGGTGGGGTGGGGAATGGCTGCTCGGGCTAGCTGGGTGTTGGTCGGCGGGTGGTGAGCAATTGCACTGCGCATCATTTGTACATCCCAATCCTTTTATTACTACTGTTGTCATTTTATTAGTGTTATTATTATTAGTTTCTTCTTTTCTGTTCTATTAAACCATTCTTATCTCAACCCACAAGTTTTACTTCTTTTCCCGATTTTCTTCACCATCCCACTGGATGGGCGGGGAGTGAGTGAGCAGCTGCGTGGTGCTTAGTTGCTGGCTGGGGTTAAACCACAACAAAACTGAAAGACGGTAGATTTAGGTTAGGTGTAAGGAAGAAGTTCTTCCCTATGGGGGTGGTGAGGCACTGGAACAGGTTGCCCAGAGAAGCTGTGGATGCCCCATCCCTGGAAGTGTTCAAGGCCAAGTTGGACGGGGCTTTGAGCAACCTGGTCTAGTGGAAGGTGTCGCTGCCTGTGGCAGGGGGGGTTGGAATGAGATGATCCTTAAGGTCCCTTCCAACCCAAACCATTCTAGGATTCTAACCCTCCGTGTGGGGTAGGTTTACTGTGGTGATGTCACTAGTCCCTGGCTCTGACCCAAAATGCATCTGCGAGTTCCCCACCGACTGACCATTTTGCTCTGCTGGCTGGGTGATCTGAAACCTTGGGCACAAACGCCGGTGCTGGTGAATCCTCCTTTCCCTTGCTGCTCTCTGTTCCACCTGGGATCCGGCTTTCTGGGGGGTTCCAAACACCCGTCCTTCTCTCTGTAGGTGGTGGATTACTACAAAGAGGCCTGCCGGGCGCTGGAAAACTCGGAGACAGCCTCGCTGCTGGGAAAGATCCAGAAGGACTGGAAGAAGCTGGTTCAAATGAAAATCTATTATTTTGCTGCTGTGGCCCATGTAAGTGGGGAGATCAACTGGGGGGCGGCTTAGCTGCACTTGGGGGGACCTGCTCTTTGCTCCCATCCCGGCTTGGGCTGCTTGTGCCCGCTGTGGCGCGGTGCTCACCACAACATGACCAACAAACGGGCTCTGGCTGCTCTGTGGGATTTTCTTGCCCCTTTCAGAGATCTCCCTTGAGTTAAGGAGCTCTGACACTGCTGATGCGTGTTTTCTTGCAGCTGCACATGGGAAAACAGGCTGAGGAGCAGCAGAAGTTTGGGGAAAGGGTAAGCAGAGCCGTGTTGGTCTATCTCGTCCGGTCCAGGCTCTGGATTGTGGTCCTGCCCTGGGGGGGGTTGAGTCCTGGAAGAGATTGTCATGCTGGTGATGCTGGGTATCCACAGCCCTGGGGACATGAGCGTGTCACCAATGATGTCCTGCCTCCTGCAAGCGTTTGTGGGTGTTCTTGAAAAGCCCCATTACGCTGTGGGAAGCTGCGGCCATCAGGGACTGGTAGTTGTGTTCCTGTGCAAAGCAAGGGCATCTACTTCTGTGCCAACCCTAATTCCCTGTCTCTCTGCAGGTCATCTACTTCCAGAGTGCTCTGGATAAACTCAACGAAGCAATCAAGCTGGCAAAGGTGTGTTCCTGCTCCATCTGGTAGCAGTAATTGGGTTTTTGAAGTTCCTGTGCTGGGCCCTGGCTCAGGCCAGCAGGATGCCAGACTGGGAAGATGAGACTGGAGTCAGTTTAAAAGCTTTCCTTGCCATTCAGTAGGTTGGCAAACCTGTGCTGGCTTCCCAAAGCTTCGCTTTGCTTCCCTCTGGGACGTCCAGCCAAGCCCAAGGCTGTGGTATCTCATGGCCGCTTGGTCTACCAGGGCTTTAGTGGGGTTTGGTTTGGTTTTAATCATTCAGGAGCATGTGGGCAGCTCCAGAAGGGCCGTGGGTCTGCAGTGCTCAGCCCTGCTGCCTTGGTGGGCTCCCCACAGAGCCCCTGGTGTCAGTGCTACGGTGCTCCGGAAACCGAGGACAGCCCTGTAGCAGGGTCTGTGTGTGAAACTGGAACACAGAAGATTTGGGGCTGCTTCCAGGTGTCTCAGTTCCTTTATGGGGCACAAGGAGAGATGGCTGGCAAGGCTGCTGCTGGCTCCTGGGCACGCTCGAGCCATGGCCACAGCACGCAGGGCTGCGATCGGCCACTGGGACAGTAATACCAGTTCCCTGCCTGCGCTAACTCACTCTCATTTCTGCAGGGCCAACCAGAAACCGTCCAGGAAGCCCTGAGATTCACCATGGATGTGATCGGTGGCAAGTGAGTCCATGCACGGGGCTCCCCTGGACGTAACCGTCCTGCTTCTCTGTGGGTCAGCCGGTGGCCGGAGCAGCCCAGGGAGCATCCCTGGTGTCCCCCAACATGCAGAGCCAAGCATCTCGTGCTGCCCGAGGCTCGCGGGATGTGCGGCTGCCGTGAAAGCCACTCTTTGCTCTCCCTGGAGCGAGCCCAAGAGACCCAGGGCCTGACCCCACTAGGAGCAAGCTCAGGGAGCCAGGGATGCTGTCTGCTCCTCACCAACGTGCCATCACTTCTTGTTTTTAGGTACAATTCGGCCAAAAAGGACAATGACTTCATCTACCATGAAGCTGTGCCTGCGCTGGACACCCTGCAGTCTGTGAAAGGTGAGGATGGGCAGTGCCCTCTCCTGCCAGCTCCTGATGGAAGACGGGGGACACACGGTGACACACGGTGAATCCATGGGGCTCTGGGACCCTTGGGGCTTCGTGCTGTGATGCCATGCTCTCCAGGGATCTGCCAGGAATGAAGTCTTTGAGCGGGAGGACCTGTCTCGGGAATAATCTGTTCCCAGTGGAGGTTTCAGACAAGCGTGTGTTGTGCGTTCTACCCCCAGGTGCCCCGTTGGTGAAAGCCCTCCCCGTCAACCCCACGGATCCAGCCGTCACCGGCCCCGATATATTCGCCAAGCTGGTGCCCATGGCTGCCCACGAGGCCTCTTCCCTATACAGGTGTGTCCTGGGCTGCGGTGCGGGCGGGCACGGGTCTGGCCGGAGCAGGACAGCCAGCCGGTCACGGAGCTCGGGCTGCAGATCTCAACAAGGAGCCCGTGCCCTAGCTCAGCAACTGTGCAAGCTAAAGAGAGCTGGGAGCTGGAGGTTTCCTTGGGGAACCACTAATGTCCCCGAGTCATTCTGGCCTCTGTGCAGTGTCTCTCCTGGCAGCTGGAGCTGGCCTTGCCGCCCCAAAGGGCCGCATCCAGCAGGCCTGGGGATGGACGAGGCTCCAGCCAGTTCCCGCAGAGCTCAGAGCACTTGTGACTTATGGTGGAGGTTTCCCTACTCCTGTCGCAGCACTAAAGGATTATTTTTTTTCTCTGTTCTGTTGCAGCGAGGAGAAGGCCAAACTGCTGAGAGATGTGATGGCAAAGATCGAAGCCAAGAATGAAGTGCTGGAGTACGTGTGAGCCATACCCAAACAGGGCCCTGGCCGATTTCTCCCTGCTAGAGACACAGGCAGCGTTCTGGGCTCCCTGCAGCCTGGTGCAGGGCTGTCCCTTTTATCCCCTTGCTGAGTTTCCCACCCCAGCGCCAACGGGAACGCAGACATCCCTGATCTGTCACCCTCGTGCTGAGTATGGTCAAGTCCCAGTCTGCCCAGCTCTGGGGTAGACCCTGTCCCCCAGCAGGTTCTGGTCCCAGTGACTGGTCCCCAAATTCACCCTGCAGCTTTGCTTAGGTCATCAGGGGTGACACTGCAGTGCTGCGCCCCGAGTTGGCCGTGGTTTGGGATGGGGGGACCTGTGGGGAGGCTCTGCCACCACTCAGGGGCTTGTTCTCTTGCCTGCAGCCAGTTCATGGACTCCATGCAGCTGGACCCCGAGACCGTGGACAACCTCGACATGTACAGCCACATCCCCCCCATCCTGATGGAGAAATGCGCTGCGCTCAGCGTGCGTCCCGACACCGTCAAGAACCTTGTCCAGTCCATGCAGGGTAAGGACACAGGGACCAGGGATGTCTGGGCTGGCCCTGGGGGCAGGCGTGCCGCTCCCTGATGGGGGCTTTGGTGTTGGGAACGGCCGCTCCGATGGCTGATTCTTTGCTGATATAAATTCCCAAACCCCAAAGCATTTTCCCTGTTGGCCAGTCGTGGGGGATGCTGCTTCCTCGCAGGCCGGGCCAGCCGTCACCCCGCTGGTCGCTGCAGCCAAGGGGGTCGGTGCTGTCTGAAGCCTAGTGCAGGCAGGCCCTGAGCCCAGCACCCAGGCGCCTGGGCTGTGATGTCCTTGCCTTCTCTGGTCACCCACAGCCAGATTTATTCCTCAGGCTGCTGTGTTGATGCCTGGCTTCAGGCTCGGAGCAGGCAGGGGCCAGGAGAGCTTGTGGCAGGTGGTGGTTCAGCCCTTTGCCAGCCTCGGTCTCTCTCCTCTGCAGTGCTCTCCGGGGTCTTCACCGATGTTGAGGCTTCCCTGAAGGAGATCCGAGACCTCCTTGAGGAGGACGAGGCTCAGGAGCGAAAGCTGCAGGAGCTGCTTGGAAAGGTCCCACTGCCCCAGGGGTCCCCCCTGCCGCCGTCCCCAGGGCTGGCCGAGGTCAGCAAGGAGTGTTCCAAGTACATGGAGGTGCACGAGAAGGCCAGCTTCACCAACACCGAGCTCCACAAAGCCATGAACCTGCACATCGGCAACCTCCGCCTGCTCAGCGGGCCACTGGAGCAGGTCCGGGCCGCGCTGCCTTCGCCCACCTTGACCGAAGGTGAGCGGTGCTGTGCCCTGTGCTCGCGGCCATCCCAGCTTCCCAACAGCACCCCAGGCTGGGGCTGGGCGGGGAAAGTAGGTCCGCTTCTCCCTCCTGCCTCCCCGGTGCTCCCCTCATGTCGCCTTCTGCCTCAGCTTGGCGCTGCTTTGGCATCAGCTGGCTGCGTGGTCTGTTGCGAGCCGGGGCGGGGGCTTGTCCCCCTGAAAAACCTGCAAAATGGGATCCTGGTGTGGGGACGGATGGGCCAGAGACCCTATTACCGTCTTGGCAAATGCCTGCCTTTACTGCCCGGTGTGCCAGGACAAGCCACAGGCTGATTCCTTACCCCCGCGGTTCCCTCCCCTCGGCTGCAGCATGTACCATGAGCAGGGTCGGGTTGGGAAGGCTGCGCCAGGCTCGGTGCAATCTGGCGCGGCCGCTCAGCCCTCCCTGTCCCCCAGACGACAAGCAGGTGCTGCAGAACCTGAAGCGAATCCTGGCCAAGGTGCAGGAGATGAGGGACCAGCGGATGTCCCTGGAGCAGCAGTTGCGTGAGATGATCCAGAAGGACGATATCACCACCTCGCTGGTCACCACCGACCGCTCCGAGATGAAGGTGGGTGCCAGCCGCTGTGTTTGGGGAAGACCTTTCACGTGTCACGTGTCCAAGTCAGGGCTGCAGCAAGAGCTCTGCCCCGTCCCAAACTACCCCAGAGCCTCCCCAGCCCCCTGGGACCCCTCAAACCCTCCCCTCTCTCAGCAGAAACTCTTTGAGGAGCAGCTGAAGAAGTACGACCAGATCAAGGTGTACCTGGAGCAGAACCTGGCCGCCCAGGAGAACGTCCTGAAAGCCCTGACGGATGCCAATGTCAAATACGCGGCTGTGCGCAAGGCCCTGGGCGAGGTGGAGCACAAGTGAGTGGTGGGCGGGGCTGAGGCACAGAGGAATGGTATTCCCTGGTGGGGTCTGGGTGCACAGGAACAGCCTTCACCCCCCACAAGGGAGAGGTGTGGGGTCACTGCCGGCTTCTCTAGTCTGTCCCTTGTCGTGCCCCACTGCTGGGGAGCCACTGGTGGCTGTTTGTCCTGCACCCGGTGTCCGTCCCAGGTGGGTGCTGGTGAGCTCTCCAGGTCCCAGGAGCGGGGAGACCCGGTTCTGGCTTGGCGTTACATCACCACTCAGCCCTTCCACCCTGTCTCCCCAGGTGGAACACCACCGTTCAGACCTTGGTGGCCTCCTACGAAGCCTATGAGGATCTGATGAAGAAATCGCAGGAGGGGAAGGACTTCTACACCGACCTGGAGGGGAAAGCCGCCAAACTGCTGGAGAAGGCCCGGGCTGCCTGCCAAGCCGCCGAGGCCAACAGACAGCAGATCTTGGAGAAGTAGGTGGTGCCGTGCCCGTTGCCGAGACGCGTGTGTGGGCTGGAGGGAACGTAAAGCCGGGCTTGGGGGTCCCTGATGTGATGCCCCCTGCCTCACCTGGGGAGGTGGGAAGCACCTTTGGGTGCTGCTGGGTGATCTGGGCTGCAGCTGAAGGGTTTGGCTTCGGTGCGGTGGCTCCCTGCGCCTGAGGGGGCGGTGGGCAGCACCCACCCGGGCTCGCTGGGGGCCAGCGACCCTGCGCTGAGCCCCGCTGCCCCACCCCCCTGGCAGGGAGATGAAGAAGCAGCCGCCCCCTCGGCCCACGGCCCCCAAACCCGCCCTGCAAAGGAAGCCGCTGGAGCTGGAACCCGGCGGGCCGGATGCCGGCGACCTGCCATCGTTGAGCTCCCTGGTGCTGTCGGAGCTGCCGGAAGAGCTGCGCAGCCTGCCGCCGGACGTGCTGGCCGGGCACCCGGCCCACTTGCCGCCCCCCACGCTGGCCGCCCTCGCCCTCAACCCGGCCCTGGCTGCCGGGTTGCGGCCCCCCGAGCCCTTCCTCCCCGCAGCCAGGTTGGCCAGTGCCCCGCTGCAGCCCTTTGCCCCTGCCCGCTTCCCAGGACCCCCTGCCCTCGCCGGGCACTACCATCTGCCGGCGGCACCCACCTCGGCGCCGGGGCCCTTTCCCCCCGGCGGGGGGACCCCGGTGCAGCTCCTGCAGCCCTCGGCCCCGCAGGGGGCTGGACCCCCCCCCAGTTCTGCCCCGGCCGCTTCCCCCCAGCTTTTCCCAGCTGCCCCGCTGATGCGAGCCCCAGCACAACCCGGCGCAGCTCCGGTGCAGCCTGGCTTCGTGGGGCCCCACGTGCTTCCCCCACGCTCGTCCCCGCAGCATGGTCCCCTGCCCGGCTCTGCTCCCGCTCCCGCTGCCTCCTACAGCCTGGGCCAGCCGGGGGTGCCCACACCCGGCCCCCTCAGACCCCCAACCCTGGGGCCAGCCCCCATGGGTGCCCAGCCGCCGGCCAGTGGCCCCGAACCAGCCCCGGTTGCCCGGCCGGCCACCACCACAGTGGATAGCATCCAAGCCCCCATCTCCAGCTGCACCGCTCCCCCACAGCTCCCCGGCCAGGGGCCGGCTGTGCCCCCAGTCCCCTTCCTGGCCCCGCAGCGCCTGGGGGGCCCCCCTGTCGCCTTCCCTTACGCCCAGAGGGGGCTGCAGCCCTTCGGGCAGCCAGCTCAGCACCCGTTCCCTCCCAGGCAGCACCCGCAGACCTTCGCCCCCGCGGCGCAGCTCCAGCCTGGCATGGAGATGCCTGCTCGGGCCCAGGGCCCCCAGCAGTTCCCCCCGGCTCCCTTTTTGCCCCCAGGGAGAGCCCAGGTCCCGCTGCCCTTCCAGCCACCTGCCCGGCCCCCGCTGCCCCCCCAGGCCCAGTTTGCCCAGCAGTCCTTCACTGGCCCCGGGGGGCGGCTGCCCCCACCAGCCCCTGGGCAGCCCCCCCTGCCGCCGCAGCTCTACCAGCTCCCGGGGCAGGACAAGCTGCCCCCGCAGGGGCTTGCCCCACACGGGGGGGCCCTGCCCTTCCCCAGGGCCCCTGGCCAGAGTGGCCCCCCCGCGCAGCCCCTG